ACACTTTGTGAAGCAAGATAATCAGCACCAAATTTTCATAGAAAAGAAAAAAAAAATCCTTTGATTTCCAAGATCGAAGTTTTTGTTGAACAAGAACAAACTCTAGCTTTTCCTTAGATCTGAGCTAGAAACGATGAAAATATATCTGAACATGTTAGCTTTCTTTGTAGGAAACATGTTTATTGAAACTGAGGTCCCACTTTACTACCAAATGTATGTTACCAAACAAGGAAATAAAACCCAAAAGAGGGAGCCAATTATAATGCGCCAAGAGAAAATAGTCTAGTCTAGCCAGCTATAACCAGATAAATGTTTTTAACTATCTTTATGTTTTTGTTCAAAAAAATGTACTTGTCATATTCTTATTAGTTTGATTAAGGAGTTAGCAATTTAAATTATATACTATTGATTGAACTTTATTTTGCTTATTTGACATATTTTTCATGATTTTAGGTAATTTTACTTATTTTGCATATTATTATGATTTCGTTTAATAAGTTATCAATTTAAATTTATAGTATTATTTGAAATTTGTTAAATAAGTAGAATTAAAAATCATTATAACATATTTTATTTTCTGAATTTGACACAGATACTAAATATATATATATATATATATATATTTCAACTCATATATTGTAGTTTTTTTTTAATTTTTACTTTTTCATAATTATGAGATATACATATTAAGATGATTATTATAGTATAATAAGATTTAATATTATTCTTTCATTATCAACCAATCACAAGTTTTCTATCCATTTTTATAATAAATTTCTTTATTTTTTAAATTATTATGCATTTTAAATATACACAAAATTTACTTATTACAAGTAATACTTAAAAGATGTTATTTCGCTATCGCTGGAAGTCATCTACTTCAATGAATAAGCCAAATAGAAAAGAACATAAGGCATATGAAATACTGTCTTATAAAGGATAGGGAAGAAAAAAAGCTGTGGACTTGTTACGAGGCCTCGTTTCAGACGCAAAATTATGTATTTGATCAGTTTCTTATTTATGTGCTTAAAACTTTTTTCTTAAGAAAAAATGTCTGGTCATTGACGTTGACTTTGAGTTTTGCTTATTTTCTTATTCTTTGTTGTGTAGAGCGCTTCGAGCATTTATGTAAACCCTTTGATTGATAGTGAATGTTGTGGGAGACGGTTCCCAATCGAGATGTGCCGTGCTAAAGGCCGGGAACTCGGTGATCAAATTCTATATGTTATTTAGTTAAGCAATCAAATGATCGATAATTCCGCACAGTGACAGTGCTTTCAGCTTTAAGGCGAGCCCCCTATCCCTGTTGTGTCACCTGCTTTGAGGAGACTCCCATTCTCCTCTTGTCCTTCACTTCTCTATCTCTTACACCAGCGCAACCTCGGCGTGTACCCTGACGTCTCAGCCGCATCTTAACGTCGTGTAGCCGGATGAGGAGCCTAGTTTACCTCCTGCGCTTGACAGAGACTGTTCTTCACTTTCAGCGGTGTAATGTCGGGTCCACACGATGGTTTTGTTGCCGAGAAAGCCTTGGGCTTGTTTTGCTCTGCGTCCTTTCCTCTGGTGTTCCGGAGCCGTTGCCAGTCGCCTCCGTCGAAGCCGTTTGGAGCCACCTTCTGGTGTGTGTTCGTGCAATCTGCTTTTGGCTTTACTTTTGCTCTTGGTTTTCCCGTGAGTTCAAGTAGTGTTTTGAGATGAGAATTATATGTTGTCTTTTGTTCTGAACTGTTTATTATCTCCATTATTACCATTATGGTTGTTTTGGATTTAATTTTCTGTGTTTCTTAGGGGTTCCTTAAACTTTTTGCGGTCTCTACGAAACAGAATAGCTTTATGCAAATTCTGGTTTCAACTTGTTGTAAACCATATTTTCATTTCATGAATGATATTTACCATTTAGCAAAAGAAAAAACAAAACAAAACATGAACTAAACACCATAATGTAATTACAAATTGTTAAGAGATTTTACCAAAAAAAAAATAGAAAGAGATTCCACAACTTGGTGTTTATCTCAAAATCTTTAGAATATTAATATGCAGTCTTCATCATTGCACAAGTTTTAAGGTTCCAGGTTTAAAGTAGAAATGTGTTCGGTTTGATTTAGTTTTATTAATCAGTATCAATCCTTTCAGAAATCCAACCACAAGAAGAGAACAAAGATCACTACAACACAAACCCCAGATGGTATGATCCAAGATAATGTCATATACTTTGTTTTAATCTTCTCTATTAAAAGAGAAGTACCATTTTTATCTACTATAGAATAGTCATACTAAGTCCATATATTTAGTTACATTGTTTTGATTATTTACATTACTTTATTTAATATATAATATTTCTAAATAATTATAAAGATATTAATAACAAATCTATTTTAACTGTAATTTTAAAATTTGAATTTAGTAATCACAAGATCTGTTGAGAAAAAATCTAACAAATCTTTTTAAAAATTTAAATAGTTTTTTAATTAATGCTTTGATTAATTTCATATATAGTAGTATAATATTATTATACATTAATCTTAATTAAAAATTTATTATAAACAAAATATAATATACAATAGGCCAATTTTATAAATTTTATAAGTATAGACTATATTATATTAAAATAGAAATAATAATTGAATTACATATAAAATTATATTAAATTGGTAAACTAATATATATTTTAAAAAATCATAAATAAATAAATAAAATATCATTCACCATTTAAGTGACTAAAATATTATTTACCTTTTAAAAAAAATAAACATTCGTAAATTATTTAATAAATTTTACAGAAAATAAAATTGTTAACATATAGTAAATTTTATATTTAGTGTACAAAATCTAGTTAATACCTTATAACATTAGCCTTCACAACCATGGATTTATACTTTGTTTTTTTTTCTACCCGTAACTTCTTCTTTTTCATTCAAAACACACCCAGAAAAAAAGTTCAAAGAATTTTTTTTTGTTTCCTTCCTTCTTCGGGGTTTCGGTTGTGACGAACTTCAAAAGAGATTAATTGTTTTGTTAAACTAATCGAATCCTGATGATTGGTGGGGAGAGGGATTTCGCGTGAATTATACTTTGTGGTGATTCGAGCTCGGCGAAAAGGGTTTTGAGATTTGTGTGGATTTTCTTTATCGGTTTACGAAACATGGATACCAAATTCATATTTGGTGGTAATTATCACGCCGACGATGCGGATTGTCTGAACGAAGGAGATGGTTTTGGCTTTGTTGCATGTTCAATTTGTCTCAAAACTGTGGTTAAAGACGTCGTACTATGTAAAAAAATTTGTTTCCTTGAGATGGAAGCGTTGTGACTTGCGCCTAGATGTGAGTTAGCAAGCATTCAGATTTTCTATGGAGAAAACTTTGGTTTCTTTGAATGAAGGAACTGTAGAAGGGAACTATGGCTGCAGGGGCAGCACTTAAAAAGGCCAGCTTAGATTATTCTATTGTTTTTAACCACTTGCAGAAGGATCTTGAATTGCTTTCCTCTCTCAGGTTGTATCAATATTCGAGACCAGTGAATATCATCAAGCAAGCTTTTCCAGACCCTCCACAAAGCTTTCACGAGTCAACCAATGTTTCAAACCTGAGAAACAGGACACTCGTGATGTAAAATTCACAGAGTTACAAATGAGAAAAAGGGGATGAAGGAACCGCCCTTAAAGGGTGATATTCTTCCAGAATTTGAAAATAGATCTCTTCATATAATGAAAGCCTATATCAAAAGATGAAGAAGAACTTTATGAGATGCACTCAAAGAACTTATATCTGGAAACTAGTGGTATTCCAGCTACGCGTCGGGTTCGTATGTTTTATTTTCTAATGAGTTCAAAATATGTTTTTTATCCATTTGATATTGGTTAGTGATTTTAGTGTATTCTTTTGTTTTGAAGTTACTTAGATCAAAAAGAAATAGCATAAGTGATTTTCACTGATCGATTCATTAAAAATAGAATAAATAAATATACTTGATCTTAAAATATAAAGTAAAATCGATGTACCAAAAAAACATGTAAATGCATGTGTTTATTTTGTGATTCTCTTGTTTGAATGAAGATAACAAATTCTTTTATTCTCTTAAAGTAGTAACAACTCTCGCATATTTTGTCCATGTTATGGATACGGCAATCTGTTATAGGGTTCATTGAGAACTTGGTTAAATTCTTGTTCTTCAAAATGATATTGATGTTATAAAATACTCATGTTATAAAGTACTCTCATGCTTATTGGGTTGCAGATTTTTTTTTGTAATGTATATTGTATTAAAACTTGGATTTCTTTTTCTAAAATTTTCCATTTGGTTTACCGTTACGATGAATTAAAGTTTTATTGTTTATTAATAGTTTTTCAGTTATATATATATATAAAAAAATAGGATAGTGGATGGTGGTAATTGGACAAGGAAAGCATTATACGAATGTGCGTTGATAATTGTGGCTAATATAGTTTAATCGTAGTACTTACATTGCTGTACTGTTTTCTGTTTAGAGATGTAGTTTTGGGCAGTTTTATATTTAACTTCGGTTTTTTAGTAAGATGTCAAGTGGTTAATTAAGTGACATGTTTGGGCTGTTAATCGGTGTCACCGAATTGTATGCGATTGTTGTTGATTCTGATCAACAAAAGGCAAAAACTTTGGGTTCAAACTTAGGTGGACAACATTCACCAAGTTATGTTGTTATGTTTATATCCCCGAAGTTTAAAAAGAAAACGCTGTGTGCCAGGGAAAACTATTTCATGTAGAATAAATTTAACATTTATGGAGTGTGTTTGGAAGAGAAAATAAGAAGCTCATAAATACTGTGTTCTTGACTCATTTAAGTGTAGAAGTGTTTAATTTTAAGATATCAAAACCCAAATATTTTCATACACAGAGACCTAATAACCCTTACAATTATTAAGCTGGAAGCAAAAACTATGACAACATAATAGATGATAGATGATAACTGAGCTAAACGATAATTGAGAGCCACTATAACGTCTACTCAAGATTGTTACACCTCAGTGGCTTCTTAGTGGTAGGCTCTGGTGATGTCCAACTGGGTCTGCAGCCTTGCTCCCGCTCTCACTCAGATGTGGAGATGAAGAAGGTGACACATTTTCCACAAGTCTTGATGATGACTTTGTAGGGGTAGACAAAGAAACTGGACTCACAGCACGATCGCACATGCAGCAGGAGTGAGTTTTTAGTCCAACTGCGACTTGATCATAGCACGGAGACAAAATCCCTTGGAGTCTTGAAAGATTACCTCGAGCTGCATCTCGTAACCTTCAAAACGGATTTTTAAACAAAGCCATTTCACCTTGTTGTGTGTGCGACATGACTTTGAGGACAATTGGATTGGCGAACCAGTCGAAACGGATCTTAGACGAAAGGAAATTATAAACTGAAAAGTATAAGAAAGCTATAAGTATATTAGGAGATTCAGTGCATGCTACAACTCAGGATACTGTCATGATTGACTTGAGTAAAATAATTGGAAGAAAGAGTAAAATGATTGGAAGAGGCTTACGTTGGAGTCGACATAAGATTTGAATTTCTTAATTCCACCGTTCTGGTGAATGTCTTACATGCTGTAACCGGGGGGAGCTTCGTAAACTAAGAACAAATAAACTAACTTCTAGAGTTCTTTTTACCACCTTTTCGGCTCCATCACAATGTCATTCACTCTTTCTATAATTACAAAAGCAAACAATTCTCTCAGGAAAAGAAGAAGCAGACATAACAGAGACAAAAAAAGTTCAAAACTTTAAATTTCAGTAAATAGACACTTATTAATTCAAGCATATGGCAATATGTTACGACAGGATTAAATTGCCTAACTGCTGAGGATTCATCTCGAAATGTATAGGTTTGCTTATTACCTGCAGTTGAGAATTGAGAACGTATGTGTTAAGCTCAGCAATTGTGACGGTCTCAAGTTTCTGAACATGGCCGTAAACCACTTCCTGCAACGAATCCGTGGGTACTACACATGCCGAGCTGGTTGATGTTTGGATTTATCAAAAACCAAAAATATTGTTTCTTTAATTGTTACAAATAATATGGGAGAGACATACTCGTAGTACAGGTGCTGGCTAGCCGTAGTCTTGCAAATTAAATATTTGTCCCAGATGTAGCATTTAGAAATAACCACCTGCAAAACAATGGCACTTAAGCAAGGTTTCATAATTCGGACAGCAAAATTTGGGATTAAACTAAGGGAAACAAAGAGTGACCTCCCCCAATTTTAGGATCGATGATACTCGGTATGAAAGTTAAGATTAAAAAAAAATTGTAAGGTTTGCGAAAGATCTTGCTCGTCTCTGAGGATAATCTGAAGGAGAAAATATTAATAAAGATTCTCGAGAACGTAATCGTCATCAGGTCAGATCACCAACAATAAAAGGGAAATCCAAAAACAAAGCAACTCGAAGGTAACGTAATCGTTGGAATCTTAGATCAGGAAATCAAATCCAAAAATGACAATCTGAGAAAAAAAAGAATGAAAATCTAAGAGTCTTACATTCTCCTCGATGAGTAATCTCAACACTCATCTGCGCCCGGCCCTCAGATCAGCAAGGAGAGTGTATGTCCCCGCCATTGATGTAGCTGCTGCTAGAAGTAAAGATTTCTAAGTTTTCTTGTGGGATTTGAAGTGCGATTTCCATGTCTGGTAAGTGAAGAGTTCATTTGAATGCAAAGAGGAGTGGGATAATGACAGTGGGAATGGGAGTAAAGCTGGAGATAATGAGATTCCAAGACGTTACGAATCTGGATCAGAGAGACGAGTGAGGAAGACGAAGAAGAACCCTAAATCTTACCCTGGTTTTGGGGGGGAGGTGGGTTAGACACCACATTTAACCAACGGAGCTACTGATTCTATCGTATTTTGCTATACAAAATTAACATATTATCATTTTTTTGTGGTGTCAAATGACCTCACACCCTAACATGTGGATCCGCCCTTGCTCATAATAATCATAAAACTGCATGTTTTATTTTTCTTTTCTTTTGGGATCAAAAACTGCATGATTCTTTAAGAGATAATAATAGCATCCAGATACCAGTTGTGTGTTTAGCAATTGCGATGAATAGGTTTATAGCTTTGGCTAAACAGAGCATGGATGCTTCATTACATTGTTCATATCACATGACAACCATATCTGAATCTACCTAAGGAGAACACATAGAACAACAAAATACAAAAGAACGAAAGCTTATATAATTGGATCCAATTGTCTGAATTCTTCCATGTGAGAAAACAATACATGAAAACCTTCCCAATTGTCAACATCTTTTGTCTTGAAAACACAACAAAATTTAAAAACTAAGCAACATGATTCACTTTGCAATCTTATTGATCCAAAAGTTCTTTTAGACACATGATTTTCTGTTTAATGAATGTATCATAGCGACTCTCTGAAACCAATTCAGACACATAATTTGAAGAGGAATCATATCATCGCAGAGCTTATGGAGAAAGAGGCGCTTGAAACAGTTCATCTTTAGACTCGGTTTGCTACTGCACATGCTAATTTTAATGTTTTGAGAGATAAATTTGATGTTATGGCTACTACAAATGAAAATTTGCTGATGGATCTCATTTGTGTAAAGGTCAATTTGATGAGTACATTAGCTTATAAAATTATAATTACATATGTAAAAATATTCCGCGCAAATACGCGGATCAAAATCTAGTACATATTTAATTTCAAGTATTTAAGTAGCTGTTGACTTAAACATTTGCCCCACTAAATATTCACTAGCATTAGCAGAGTATTTCTAACAAAAAAACAAACCAATCATAGGTCTATAGACTTGAAAAAAAATTGTTCAAACACATCTCCACCTCAAATTTACAATATAAACAACAAATAACTAATAGAAAATGTTGAAATCAACCACACTTCAATGTTAATTTAAAATATAAACAACAAAGAACTATAACAAAAATTAAATTAATGTAGCAAATAGATAAATATCCCGCACGAATCGCAGATTTTTCCTAATGTAATAAACAGTAAAGTGAATATGGAACGTTCCACTACCAGTTATAATTTCTTTGTATAAATGAAGAACTGCCCAAATGAAATGGCACACTCGTTTATGGGTGTATTCATCCGCCTTCTCTTATTTTCATTTATGTATGTTTTAATACTTTACCAGAACTATTTTTTCATTTGTTTTTTATCTTATTTATAAATCTTATTATTTAATATATCTTAAATAAAATGCATAACATGTATATAACATATAATATTATTAAATTTATTGCAAATGATATACACTTTTAATAACATATAATAATATAAAATAGTTAATTTGTTTGGTTGATCCGCTAAATTCACTATGCTTGATCCACTTTTTTCCATCGACCTATAAAGCATCAAAAGACATTCTAAACCATTAGAACAAATCGAAACCACAATTACTAATTAACTTAAGAACATCATAAGCGATCTAAATAACCACCACTAAACTGATATATAAAGAGGATGAGAAGACCAAATCCCACAATAGGGAATAAAAACTTAAAGAAATGAACTACTAAATTTTGAGAAAAGTGAAAATTTATACTCGAAGATTGACCAAAAATTGAAAATATTATAGCAAGGAAAACCCACTATACAGAGTAAAAGTCTAAACAAAGGAACCACTAAATCTTGAAAAATGTCAAAACATATTATATTCAACGAATTAACCAAAATTGAAATTCTTTATATTACTACAAGAGAAAAAAATTGGGAAAGAAAAAGAGACAACAAAATAAGCACATGATCAGATGCATGCAACAAGTATCAATATAGATCCAAATTAACACAAGATCGCGGAAGCATGCATTAACGATCGATAGATGATCGTAGCCTCAAAATTCATCAGCACAGCACTCAGTGCGACCGCCCCAGAGCCCACATCAACTTTATTTTTTTTTTAATTTTTAGTAATATGTATGAGAGTTTTTGAGCAACTAATCACTTACTTACGTATATGCATGCGTATGATTAAATGGTCTATGCATTATCAAAAAGCTAATATAAGTAAATGGTATATACTTTACAAAAATAAAAAATGAATAAACTAGCATTTTGTGAGCAACTAATCTTCGTGTATAAGAAGTTGATTTTTTTTTTGTTCAATACGCATGCATCAGAAATGTGAATAAATAAAACACTTTAACCATTATATTTTTTGATAAAGGAACAATTAAGATATATTTTGGTGTTGCCCAGATATAACATTATAAAATATTAAATAACTACAAATATGATAATATAACTGTTCTTATCAAAACTCAAAAACATTAGTTAATTTGTATAAAATATTTAAAATTACTTTAATTATTTAAATATTAAAAAATTAGAACGCCCAGAAATCATTGTTGCCAAAGAGCCTAGAGTGGTATTGAGCCGGCTCTGATAAACACCCAACACATGAATTCACAATTCATACATGTCCAATTGCAAAGAAAATAAAGAACGTCTAGAGTTTTCATCACCGATCTCACCTCCAAAGAAATAGATATCGAGTAGACAAAAACAAGGACAGTTAAAAAGATCAAATTTATTCAAAATTTGGCTTTTTAGAAAGAACGAGGAACAAAGTTCTAAAAAGAGAAATTTTATTTTTTGTGGGGAAAAAATCTTAGTATTTATTCAAAATTTCTCTCTCAAGTCTCAATAGTATTATTATATAATGGTTGCATAGTCCCAGCGCAAGCGCGGAGTCAAAGAAGTTTTTGATGCTTTTGTTTTTTGGTATTTTGTGTATAGTTTTGTTGTTAATCTGTGTTACTGGCTAGCTTAGCATTTGTTGGTTGGAATTGTGCGTATGATGATGATCAAAAGAAATATTTAGAGTCACAATTCTTGCTATTTGATTTGTTTATATTTGAGGTTAGTTATCATATATTTATAATTATTTGGTTGACCATTTACTTTAGTATTGATCTCATGATCAAAGTTAACTGAAATTTTTAGTTGTAATTATACTAATGAAACTGTGGTAGTGAAAGTGTCATTTTTTTCCAAATTTAACATTATATACGAACAATTAAGAATTTGTTTTAAAACGTAAATGGAGTTAATTTTGTAACTAAATATTGAAATTTTCTTTGTTGGATCGAGTAAACTTTCTACAGTTTCACAAATTAAAATAGTCATATAACAATAAATTATCAATTAAATTTAATGATCTATAAATATATTTTTTAAAAAAATTGGAGTTTATGGGACGCCTCAAACACCCTATACATGACCTCTCTATAGTCTATTATCCACAGCCATTTGTTAGATTTGATATGTAGTATTCATGGCTCTATTTTCAACGTCCATAATACTATCGTCTGTATGTGTGCTTCCAGAATAAGGAGACCATGTTGGTAATAATCTGAGACATTGTAAATTCAGAGAACAGTGGGAAACCAATTTCATAACAACAATTACTCTTCACCTGGACCTGCAATTCATTTCGAAATCCAAATAATTATTGAATCAAGTAAAACTCGTCAAAGATTCTTTCAAATTCCAAAACATGGATCAAAATCTCCAGCAGAAAAACAATAAAGGAAAGAAAAATAGTAGAGGTTTGTAATGAGAAACATAGCAAGTAGTGTTTTGTTTTAAAAAGCAAAATAAGGGTGCTGACGGGTTGATAAGGAATATATATTCCCAATAATTCACGGCTGCGCTTGCGTTTCCTCTAAGAGTTTGAAATCACCAGAGCATAAGCTCCATCACATTCCACCCCAGTCCTGTCTCCCAAAACAGATGGTCCCGAACATGTTGCTGTCAATCCTTTGTCACCTCCAGTGCTTGTAAAAAGGCTCTCACCGTGTTCCTGAGATACAGTGCGGTCATGTGTAAATAATAAGGCGCAGACAGCGAAGATAATAACAAGTGAAAAAACAACAACCTCTCCATTGTTTGTTACACTGTTATTAAGCAATCATGGAGACAGTGAAGGTACGATGGTTGGATGTGAAGTTGAAAGGGGTGACACGGATCTGAAACACAAACTCCTTCCCTGTCAGCTCTTCAAGACAGCATGGGATATCATCCTATCTCTGCCATCATCAATAGCAAGCTCTATGCGAAACCTTTGTTTGCGAAATGGTCTTATCAGTAAATAAACAGCCAACACTGCTTCTATTACATGGTAAAGAGCAGACCAAGGTACCTGATAACACATGTGACATCAGAAGATACACATCGGTTGCAATACATGGAAGTTCCACATTTCTCCATTTTTTTGTTGCAAGTAGTGCATGACACAAACGACCACCCATTCTTTGAGATGACAATGACGATGCGGGCTTTGCAGAGGAACACAGCTTCTTATGTCTGAGCATATGAGATAATTTTAATATCAAAATAGCACTTAATAGACATAATCTTAGACAAGGTCAGACGAGAATATGCTCATTGGAGTTGTAGATAAAGGTGTTGAGATCCCTTATGGAGACAAGTTCATTCCTCTTGCTTCCTTCTAGAGTGTCGACACAGGTGAAATCTTCAGATGCCGTAGTTCTAACACTGCATAAAATAGTTTGGAATACTACAAAACGAAGAAATTATGGTATTACTTGAGTATTGTGTGCTAACCTGCTAACCAACTCTGCCATTTCAGGGGTTTTTGTTTCAAAGAAGAACCGAATTCCTTGTGTGGAGTTCAAATACATATTACCTGGTGGCCAGATGAATAAGGCTTTAACAAACTGCATTGAAGATGTTTTACGGCCAAAAGTGATTGAAATATTATGGTATTAATCAGAGACAAAATGATCCTAACCTCCGAACAGTTTAGGATTGACGGTGGTCACCAACATCACAAACAAGGTTTTATCCCCTTCTTTTAAAAGTCCCATGAAGCTTGATGCGGCCTCATCCCACAAAGATAAGTAGCTAGTAACATTCCTGTTTTCGAGAAAATAAGTAGACATGCCGGCAAATCAAAGGAGCATAACTTAACAATTCTCTAATAAGTTATTAAGCATCAGAACGGTGTCATCTCCCTGGCACCACCTAATCTAAACGACTCAATATAACGCTACAAGAAGATGTTACACAAACTGAGGTAAAAGGAAAACATAGAAGCATCACCCAACAACGAACTTATAATCCATCAAGCAGTAGGCCAATCTAATTTCTTAGCCTAAAACTAACATAGATAATCAGTCTACCAAGATACTATCCAATCTGAGAGCATAACAAAAGATTGAAAGGAGAGTAAATTAACGGCGTAGATTTGTAAATCAAACAGATTAAAGAATAAAATTTTAGAAATCATAATTTAGGAAGTTTTCCTGGATGTGTACATGCAAATCAACGGCGTAGATTTTTAAATCAAACAAATAAAAAAATAGATTTTAGAAATACCCACCTGTTTATCGAGGAGGCAAAGCGTTATCCCAATAAACTCTCTATTCTTGTTGATGTTTTTCGAATCCCAGAAGCGGATGAGATGAACAACAACAGACTGGGCGGTTCTTCCAAGACGAAGGGAGCCGAGAGTGGAGCAGGACCGGAGCAGCTGAAGCATCCATTTTCGCTACGGTTGTTTGAGAGATTGACTACGAAATTAGCTAAGAAGAAAAGCTGAAAGCGAAATAAAAAAAACACAGCGGAGTACCTTCTTATATAAGACGATGAAGAAACCGTTACGGGAAGAAGACTGCTATGGTTGCAGTGAATGCGATTTGAGAGGAATGATCCATAATAGATAATGGATCGGCCGAACAGGAACCGTCTAGTGGCGTCAAAGCTCAAGCTGATGATTGCTTACCTAGAAGCTAAATGGGCTAAGAATTTAGCAACATTTGTCAGTAAAAATTATAGGCCCAAATCCAATCGCAAAGAGAGGAAGCATGGTCAACGATTTACAATTTTTTAAAAAAAAAAACAGGATGTGCCCCCACCATAGGCTGACATGGCAAGCTAAAGGGGAGAGAAACCCAGACGAAAAAAGCATAAAAAATGCGAGCAGTATGGTTTGAATTCACCTCCTTACGGATCAGAAACTAGATAAGACGTCTTAGACCACTCTATTTAAACTTATTTTCGTAAGACTATGTTTGTTTTTAAAATATATGCGGGACTCATAAATCTGCTGATGTGACGTGTTAAAGAGCTAAAAAAATCTCATTATAATATAGATTTTTAAATAAAATTTATAATATTTGATCACTGTATTTATTTCAGCTTTCTTGATTAGAAAGTGGGCTATAAGAAAAACTCACGGAGCACTGACATTACGAGTTACGACAACCAGATTGAAAACATTTACAGAATTAATATAAACATCACAAATAAAATTATGAAAAGTATGAGTTAGGTGGTGAATGCCTGAATGGTAACACAGAAATACATTGATATTGAAAGGTTACAATTATTGTAGTAAGTGATAGATGAACCGCAAAATGTTAAATTGTTTATATATGTGTAAACATAAACATAAGCGAAAAAGTTTGGTATAATCCATTTAACATTTTACCAAAAAAAAAGTATTATATGATATGACGTTTTGAAAATGTAAGCATGAGAAACGTGACAGAATTAAAGCTGGTCACTAATATATTAATGCTCGGTCGTAATTTACCAAACCTAAGAGCACCCCTATCAAGGGATGATGGGGGAGTTCATACACAAACCGAAAAAAAAATAATATTAAAATTAGATTTCTATGAACATCTCTTTCAAAAGTTCACTGTGGTGAACTCCGATGATCCGGATTCATCACGTGTCAGTTAGTGATTGGTCTATTATTAACTTTTTTTAAAAAAAACAAATGAAAATAAAAAAATTAATTTTTTATTTGTGTGAATCCCCAAGAGGAGTTCATCAATGTGGTTGCTCTAACGGTTAGCGATATTTTGCTCAAAAAAATAAAAACGGTTACCAACGTAGGAATCACAAAACACGTTTTCTTGGAATTTACCATATCAATATTCTAAATTTTAGTATTCTTCCTCAAATATTAAAGCAAATTTATTGATGGTGAAAATTTACTAAATTATTTTACTCATTCGTTTTAGTTTATATGTCGTTGTAAAGAATTTTTTTTGTTTTAAATTAAATGTCGTTTTATAGTTTCGATGCAGAATTTATTAACTTTATATACTTTTCTATTTTTTATCGGTTGAAATGTAGTTATGTGTATATGTAATTGTATTTTTATTTTGAAAACATGTAAAATTAAATATTTTCTTAATCTGTGTACAAACATCTGAACCGATAACTAAAATAAAACAAATGAAGTACAATTTTAAGTATAATACAAACAAATTAAATAACAAAATTATTTTAATAGCACTTATGGTCGGCAAAGTGTCAACAACAGTCCAATCTTGTATTCCAGTACTTTTTCTCGACTACTGGAATAATTTTTTCGCAAACAAAAAATATATAGTAGTATAAAACATAAGAGATATAAAATCAAATGACGTTTACAACGAAATAAATATCCCATACACCGTAGGTTGGTGGAATTTCCAAAACCATTTTGTAAAAGAAAATATTAGATCTGAGTTAGCCCTTTCTCAAAAAACAAAAATTTCAATCTGAATTAATATATTTTTGTGCAAGAGAATAATATTTTCTAAATAATTGAAATATAAATATGGGTAATGTAGATTCTAAAATCTACACTAAGTATTTTGTAGTGGTTAAAAGTTAAATTTGGGGAAAACAAATGATGTGGGCAACAATACTCTCTGAACACAACGATACAATCGGAATTCAATTGACAAAATGAATTTTATTGATATGAGGTTTGATACAAATAAGTAATCGAGATCGAGAATAACAAAGCGAGATCGAGAATAACAAAGCGAGATCGAAACTAAACAAGCAAGAAGCTAAGAAACGAGGCCGATGAGAGTAATGGTGAGCTCTAGGGTTTCCCGTATCTCCTTTTCCTTTTGCTATCGTTCTCCTTTTATAGTTCCTTTCTGACTGATTCTTCGCAACAATCTCCGTGATCTTCGGGACACAGTTCGATCTTGTCGGACTCGATATGGGCCGAGTTTACTACAGATGGTGATGCATGGACCTGAGCCCATTTATTTTTTTACCAAACTTGGGTCCAACATTTGCCCACCCCCCCAATATTTTTTCTTTGTCGAAGGAAAAAGATAGCCCATTTGGTGTCAATTGAGAAGAGAGGGTTCGATTTCTTTTTCATTAATAACGATTCTTTTGAGCCGTTGGCTCACGCGTTACTTTCAAAATTTCAACGGATAGATACACCACTTTTTGGGCAAACCCTAGATCATTCTGTTTTTCCTCAGTTTTAATGATAGAGCCGTTGGGGGTTTTCGGCGTCTTTAAATACCTAAACGTTACCTTCCCTTCCTAATTCTTGCTTCATTCTTCTTTTTCTTTACAATTATCAGCCTCACAAACTTAGATTAAGATGACGTATCGTTCTCTTTTCCTTTCCCGACGACCAAGGCGGATCGCCTCGAGAATTTGTCGCACGGTGTCGATCGCGATGTCGTGCTTGAGCTTGCTGCTGCGTTCGAAACCCCCGAGACTCTTCGTGAGGGCTGTTTCGGGGCGTATCTCTCTTTCTTCGAGTTTTGCAGACTCTTTTATTCAATTTCGGAGCCTATCTTCGCCATCTTGGCCGAATTGGGATTGTCGTTTACCCAGATAAGTTTCAATTTCTTGAGGCATCTTCTAGCTAATTTGGTCAGAGCTTGTGAGGAAGGTTTAGTGTTTGGTCTTGCCAAACTCCTTCACATGTGTTTGATGATAAGAAACAATCAAAATCTCGGGACTTTCCTCATGTTGCCTCGTCCGGGACAGCAAATCGTTCTGGGGATTTCGTATCGTGATCAAGATTGGCGAGATGAATTTTTTGTTATTAAGGTTGATCGGTCATCGATGGGTGAATTCGATATTTCGAGGCTTCCCTATAATTGGGTCGAAGAAATAGGTAGGTTTCTTAGCCTTAGGGTTCTTATTATATACGATTTTCTTTGGGATTGATTAACTTTATTTTGCCAGCTCATTCTGAGAGCTCTTTGATGTCCGACGAGCTTCACGGCCTATTGGCGGTTTTACGGCAAGGCGAGGCGACCTGAGTTGGTCGTCCTTTGACATGGCTCGTATTCGTGCCGCTTTCTTTCTGCTGAATGGGGGTGGCCAAGTGACGGCGATCACATGTCACTCGCTTGGTCGGAGCGAGGTCGTGAGTTCCTCCATCGATCTATCATCTTCGAGTGGGGTCGATAGGCAGCTATCTAGGAGGTCATCATTTCAGGCGTCGAGGTCTGCTGTCAGAGGGAGGACTACCAGAGGGTCTCCTCTGGATTCGATCCCAAATTCCAACGATGAAGATATTTCCGAGGTGGATGGATTTCCCATCTATCTGAGCTCTAATTTGGAGGATGATTTTGTTGTTGCCAGTCGTAAACGACTTCACTCGTCGTGACCTGCCCCTTCGGCTGCTCGGTGTGGCCCTGCGCTTAGAGGTCGCGGAGCGACGGGTTAGATCTCGCATTCATTTGTTTTTGCTTCCTCTAAGGAGAGTGAGGCTTATGCTAAGGTAATAATTATGTGTTCTTAGGTGTGTTTATGCCTGCGATTCTGCATGTTTTCCTTGGAAGAATTTTCGTTTTGAGAACCTCCCTTTTTCAGAGGCCTTTGCAGATTTTGTCACGACATTGGAGGGTCGTGAGGAAAAATAATCAAAAAAGGTTATGGCTGAAATCCAGGGTCTCATGGAAGAGATTTGGAAGTCGAAGGAGGAAACCCAGAAGAAGACCGGAGAAGCAATGCTTTTCAAGGATGAGTGGCAGAGAGCTCGCTATGAGCAGTCGATATCTGAGACCAAAGTCGCAGCTTTAAAGACTAATATCGCGGACTCTAGGCTAATCGGGATATTCATGGTGGTTTCCGTGATGTGCGTCGTGAGATCGCCGACTGTTACAAGGAAGTC